AGCTGCAGGGACTTGAAGGCCTTGGCGTTGCTGCGGTGTGGCTCGAATCCGTGGAGCACTCGTAGTACGGGAAGGGAGTGACGGTGCACGCTCGCTCACTTGCTGCACCTCCTCCTCTTCTTCCTCTGCATCATTGGCCTCCTCTCCCCCATTCACAAGGGAGGATTGCCTTGTGGTTGTGCTGCCGCTGCTCAGCTCCAAAGGCAGCTCCACATGCTCCAAACCGGAACTCTTCACCTCCCCAAACCGCACGCCTATCTTCGCCTCATTCTCCGCCTTCCAATCCTTGTACATGAAGTTCTCCATGAACTTGCAGTCCCTGCTCACCAAGAACTTCTTGGTGAATGGGTCCCAAAGAAGCCATCCCTTGCTGTTTTGAGCCATGCCCAAGTGCACGGCCCACACCGCCTTGGCACCAAGCTTGTTGTGCCGAAGATGCTTAGGCACGAGCGCCATGCACATGCACCCGAACACCCGAAGCATATCCACCTTTGGCTTCCTTCCTAGCCACTCCACATAGGGCACCCATTTGTCTGCTCCCACATGAGTCAAGGCTCTGTTCTTGGCCACACACGCGCTCCGCACTGCATCAGGCCAGAAATAGTCGGGTAGCCCGGCTTCAATGAGCAACCCGCGTGCCGCCTCCGTGATTGTGCGGTTCGCTCGCTCGGCGATGCCGTTCATTGCAGGGGAGTATGGCATGGTGAGGGAGTGCCGAATACCATTCTTCTTCAGCCACAACCCAAACTCCTTGCTCAGGAACTCTCCCCCTCGATCGGTGCGGATTGACTTGACTAGACGGTCTTGTTGCCGCTCCACCATCGGGAACCAATCCGTCTTCAACGTTTCAGCCACGTCGCTCTTCTTGGCCAGCACGTACACCCAAGTCATGCGGGTGTAGACGTCGACAATGGTGAGAAAATACTCAGCTCCAGCAGCTCCAAGCTTCAGGGGGCCCACCACGTCCATCACCACCTCATCAAGCGGTGCCTTTGCCGTTGCCTCCGAACTAGGGAACGGAAACCGGGTGAACTTGGCTTGAATGCACGTCGGGCAGCCAAGCACCTCATCGGGCTCCCCCTTCACACGTATGCCAGCAACCATCTCATTCTTCACTAGCTGCTGCAAGATGGGCAGGGCCACATGCCCCATGCGCCGATGCAAGGTGAGCCAATCACACTCCCCCGTAGCCGAAGTTGGATTGGAGAATGCCGCGCTCGCAATAGCGCCCCACATACTCTCTCCGTAGTCCTCCTCCGCTACTGCCTCTGGGTTCTCCTCACCCTTTTGCTGCTCCTTGGTTGCTGCACCACTCTCCTTAGGTTCACTGAACTTGCTGGTCCCTCCAGGTTTGCTCTTCTTGAGCTCATTCTCCTTAGCGCGACCGTTCGCGCCATCGTCGCTACCGACCGCTCCATCCTTGGTGCTGATGCTTGCTGCCACTTGCCTCTCCTTAGGCATAGGGACCACTGGGATCTGCCACATCTCGTTGTAGACATCCCTGTCCTCATGAAGGTCCCAAAGAATTCGATCGCCAAGCCTTGCGGTGTAGGTCTTGGCTCCCTTCGAGTTCGTGTCCATGCCGGCCTTTGCCAACCGCCGCACGGAAATCAGGTTTGCAGCAAGGCTGGGCACCCAAAGCACGTTCTTGAGGCCCACCATCTTCCCATCAGCACCCTTGAACATGGCCTTGCCCATGCCTTTCACCTCTGCTCGCTGCCCCAAAGCCGATGTCACATGCTTCACCGGTGACGGCTCGAGTTCGGTGAGCAAGTCCGGGCGAGGTGTCATGCTATAGGTAGCGCCACTATCAATCACCCAATAGTCCAGGGGGTGTAGGGTCACCTTCCCCACAGCTGCTGGCTCCTCAAAGCCTTCATCCTTCTCTGGACCAGCCGGTACTTGCGTCGACACGAAGTAGAATAGACCCGGGTATCGATCGTCGCTCGGGTCCTTGTCGTTGTCTCCGCTCTTCATGTTTGCAGCTCCGCCACCGCGACCGCCACGGCCTCCACGGCCTCGTCCTCTCCCTCCTCCTGCTCCTCTACCCTCTTGGCCTTGAGCAGGGGTCCAACCATCAGGGAGTTTGTAGCAGTCGCGCCACATGTGTCCGCTCTTGTGGCAATAGTGACACTCGCCGTCGAATCGGCCGCGACCGCGTCCGTAGCTCTTGTCGTCGCTGCCGTAACCGCCACTCCTGCGGCCTCCGCCGAAGTTGCTGCCACCAAACCTTCCTCCCCCTCGTCCTCTGCCTCTTCCTCGACCATATCCACGGCCGATGCTCGCTGCCCCAGCGCCATCCGCACTCGCCAACTCACGGCGGCGGAAATCCTCTTGAAGGATAGCTCGCTTCACGTCTTCAAGCGAGAGGCGGGGCAAGTCGCGATTAAGGTTGATGATGAGCGAGGACCATGACTCTGGGAGTAAGGCCAGCAACTTGGTCTTCTTTTGGAGCTCACTGTAGTTCAAATCAGCTCCCTCAAGCCGCGTCAACAAGTCGAAGAATTTCTGCACCCCTTCTTCAACCGCTTCGTCTTCTTCAATTCGTAGTGCCGCCATTTGCCGTTCCAACGCCACCGCTACCGCCGCTGTTGCAGGAGCATGTACACCCTTGAGAGCAGCCCATGCCTTTGGTCCTTTCTCTGGTTCACGCTGGAATGGCTTGATGTGACGGATCTGACTGCTCCCCAACGCTTGCCCAAGTAAGAGATAGCCTTGTGCGCCCTTCCGCACCCACGGGCTCTTCTCCGGGTCGTTCTCGGGGCGCTTCTCCGTTCCTTCCATCACCTCCAGCAGGTCATAGTGGTCAAAGATGTTCTCCATCTTGAAGGACCATTCAGCAAAGTTGTCACCGTTGAACTTGTCAAGCCCAAACACCCTAGGCTCATCCCTAGGTGGGCCAAGACTTGGTTGCATGGGCGCCATGGCTGAATCACGGGGTTGGCCTTGAGCTTGAGCTTCTCCACTGCCACCAGCACCTCTGCCACCCCTTTCCTCAGGTCCAGACATTGTCGAAACTGCTCCAAGGGCCTCTGATACCACTTGTTATAGTCACAATAGGCTTGAATGTGCCTAAAACGAAAGATAGAGAGCACAGACGGATTTCTGCACAGCGGCTTCAAACGTTGATAGCGTTCTGCTCACGTTAATAGTATTTTACAAAAAATACGGTGTGAATATACACTCACACGTAATTCGATAAAAAAGATATAAACTGACTTGCGATACTTATTAAAAAGAGCTGCAAATGACTTGATTCAAATTGGATCTGGAGCGTCTTCACGTCGTCTACAATTAGCAATTTAGATTGCACGATTTGATAAAGAATTGACGACAGAGCGTCGGTTTGAACGAACGGTACTATGGCAGCCACTATAGTCTTAGAACACAAGATAGGAAGAGTTACGAGTTGGGAATGACTCCCAGCTCCTACAAACCCCAAGAGCCGAGGTACAGTGATGTGGAACAGTACCACACTGTCCCCAACCACGAAGGGTCTCGAAACTACCCTTCACTAGGGCCTACACCAAGTGAAATGTTACACTACACAAAGTAATGTAACTATCTTCAATATCTTGAGGTGTACCCTTTTGGCAAGCTTCGAAATCACTTGAGGCTTGACACCAAGGCTCGGGCTCTTCATCACAAACTCATCCTTGAGTTCTTGATGGGTCTGCTGCACACACCTGCGACACGCCGAACGTTCGACACAGGACAAAATAGAAACCGCGCACGACAGAATAGAAACCGCGCGCGAGACACAAACGACCGCGTAACACGCGTCTAGCGATAACTCGCTATTGACTCGACACACACACTCGACATCATGACTCAACACTCACACACAATTATAAGCATGAAATATATATTATCCCATGCCCTTATACCATTCCATACACACACACATTCACGCACACGGACAACAAGCCGAGTGCAAACCGTAGGGTTGCACCAACATTAACATGGGGGTTATGGACGCACTGGCCCGCATCTGGAACAAGCCATTTTAACTTACTTGTCTAGTGGCTAGGATTTTGATAGTTTCAAATGTCTTCATTGCTTCATTTCATCTATACCCTTGGTCTCCGTCCTAGGTAGTGCGTGCTTTTGTTGCGTATAGGAATGTTCAAGTAGTTCCTTCATTGTAACAATAATAAGGATACTCCTCTCGGTGGTCGACCGGAGGCACCTGGGGGTCGACCAGAGCACCTGGGGGTCGACCGGGTAACCTGCTCGACGATTTCTGCGGAGGCACGCGAACGTCGTCGAGGTCGCAATGGCGAAGGCGACTGCGGGCTGGTATCCCGAAGTCGATGTGGTTCATTAGGCGCAGACAACAGCCGAGGGATGCCCAACGAGGCAAGTCGGGCCAATCGTCTGCGCGCACCTACGAGCATGCGCACTGCTGTGTTCTACGGGGCAACGCTGGACGGCCGCTCTGCTGCAGCGTTGGCACGCCGTCGACCTGCTCTGTTGGTAGGTCGCCTTTCTGCAGTGCTTGCGCGGCTCCTCTACGCAACGATGGCAGGCGGTCGACCAGGCTAGGTGCAGAATTGCTAGGTGCCTGATGTAGTTATTCTTGTCATTGTGAACTGTATCATTCTGTAATTCCAACTTTGCTAGTCGAAACTCTTGCCAATTTCTCCCGTATATGTGCAAGCACTATGGAACTAAGCAAAACTACGATCACTCCTAGTGGTTCGTGCCAACCCCCGTAGTCTAGCTCACTGCCGTTGTAAAGTGACTCTCCGCACAAACGGTGTTGGCGCAGAAGAAAAGAACGCCTTAAAGCCCAAGACCTGAATTACAAAGAAAAATAGGCAAACTGTGCACAGTTTGCCTACCGAACCCAAAGTTGACCTCCCGAGCCAGGATGGTTACCAAAAAACGTCGCATCCCAAAAAGACAGAGTCGTAGAGCAGAACGCGTCTACTTGGCGAGAGTCCCAACCACCCTTTGCTGTAGAGGAAGAGAACTGCCTGTGCACAGTTTGCCTGAAAATGGTAATTCAGGAATGTCTTTGCGGCTAATACGCGAAACTCTAAGCTTTGCCAGATGCAATTTCCTACCTACGCCCCCGTTGCAACACTTGCATTGCCCTCATCCCAAGCGTGAAAGGCGCGAAGCGCATACTATTCCACGTCGCTAAAAACTGTCTCGAAATGTGAACCCCGCTATCCCCTCACATCGTCCTCCCCCTAGACGCACCGTCGCCCTCGCTTCCCCCATTTCCCCGTCGCCATTGCCCTCCCATCGCCCTTACCCCACTCCCCTCCCGTCGCTTCCTCGTCAACGTCGTCGTGCCCCATTCCGACGCTTCGTTCACCACTCCGCGACCACCCACTTTCTCCGTTGTCGTGTCCCCACCACTCCCCACTATCCTGACAGGGGCGCCCACGTTTCCTCACTCGGGAAGCCCGTGCACACGCCCACGTTCCTCCTCCCCGCGCGCGCTCCTCTCGCCTCCCCGCGCGGCATCCTCTCGCCACCCCGCGCGGTCTCCTCTCGCCTCCCGCGCGGCATCCTCTCGCCGCCCCGCGCGCGCTCCTCTTGCCTCCCCGCGCGGCCTCCTCTCACCATCCCTAGCGTGCTCCTCTCGCCTCCCCTCGCGTGATCCTCTCGCCTTTATAGCACGAGATTTCGTTGCCTCCCCGCGTGGCCTCCTCTCACCATCCCGCGCGTGCTCCTCTCGCCTCCCCTCGCGTGCTCCTCTCACCTTTATAGCGCGCGCTTCTCTTGCCTCCCCGCGCGGCCTCCTCTCACCTCCCCGCGCGTCTTCCTCTCGCCGCCCCACGCGTGCTTCTCTCACCTCCCCGCGCGTGCTCCTCTCGCCTCCCCGCGCGTGCTCCTCTCTCCTCACCTTGCGTGCTCCTCTCGCCTCCCCGCGCGTGCTCCTCTCTCCTCACCTTGCGTGCTCGTTTCGCCTCCCCGCGCGTGCTCCTCTCTCCTCACCTTGCGTGCTCCTCTCGCCTCCCCGCGCGTGCTCCTCTCTCCTCACCTTGCGTGCTCCTCTCGCCTCCCCGCGCGTGCTCCTCTCTCCTCACCTTGCGTGCTCCACCTTGCGTGCTCCTTTCGCCTCCCCGCGCGTGCTCCTCTCTCCTCACCTTGCGTGCTCCTTTCGCCTCCCCGCGCGTGCTCCTCTCTCCTCACCTTGCGTGCTCCTCTCGCCTCCCCGCGCGTGCTCCTCTCTCCTCACCTTGCGTGCTCCTCTCGCCTCCCCGCGCGTGCTCCTTTCTCCTCACCTTGCGTGCTCCTCTCGCCTCCCCGCGCGTGCTCCTTTCTCCTCACCTTGCGTGCTCCTCTCGCCTCCCCGCACGTGCTCCTCTCTCCTCACCTTGCGTGCTCCCTTCCTCTCATCCGCCCTTCCTCTCATCCTCCCTTCCTCTCATCCTCCATTCATCTCATCATCCTTTCCTCTCATCCTCCTTTCCTCTTATCCTCCCTCCCTCTCATCCGCCTTTCCTCTCATCCTTCCTTCCTCTCATCCTCCCTTCCTCTCATCCTCCCTTCCTCTCATCCTCCCTTCCTCTCATCCGCCCTTCCTCTCATCCTCCCTTCCTCTCATCCTCCCTTCCTCTCATCCTCCCTTCATCTCATCATCCTTTCCTCTCATCCTCCCTTCCTCTTATCCTCCCTCCCTCTCATCCACCATTCCTCTCATCCGCCCTTCCTCTCATCCTCCCTTCCTCTCATCCTCCCTTCATCTCATCATCCTTTCCTCTCATCCTCCTTTCCTCTTATCCACCCTCCCTCTCATCCGCCTTTCCTCTCATCCTTCCTTCCTCTCATCCTCCTTTTCTCTTATCCTCCCTCCCTCTCATCCGCCTTTCCTCTCATCCTTCCTTCCTCTCATCCTCCCTTCCTCTCATCCGCCCTTCCTCTCATCCGCCCTTCCTCTCATCCACCCTTCCTCTCATCCTCCCTTCCTCTCATCCTCCCTTCATCTCATCATCCTTTCCTCTCATCCTCCTTTCCTCTTATTCTCCCTCCCTCTCATGCGCCCTTCCTCTCATCCGCCCTTCCTCTCATCCGCCCTTCCTCTCATCCTCCCTTCCTCTCATCCTCCCTTCATCTCATCATCCTTTCCTCTCATCCTCCTTTCCTCTTATCCTCCCTCCCTCTCATCCGCCTTTCCTCTCATCCTTCCTTCCTCTCATCCTCCCTTCCTCTCATCCGCCCTTCCTCTCATCCGCCTTTCCTCTCATCCTCCCTTCCTCTCATCCGCCCTTCCTCTCATCCTCCCTTCCTCTCATCCTCCCTTCCTCTCATCCTCCCTTCCTCTCATCCTCCCTTCCTCTCATCCTCCCTTGTATTCAGGTGCGTGTGAACCCTACCGTGCGAGAAGCCATGTTACTATCTGTTAGAGTGAGGATCTTGGATAGAGTAGGAAGTGCCTTTGGTAGAGTTGGTAGCGGAAGACTTGTAAGAACTCAGATCATAGTGAATGTAAATGACCAAGTTAATTAAAAGATAGAATACAAGGAATATAAATAGTCCTAGTCTAGCCATGTACTCTAAGGGGTACATTCCCTTATTATAACTGTTTTACAGGCATTTCTACAGTGACTCTGACTGTTGTACTGCCTTTCTTGTTACCGAGTCGCTGCATGTAACCTGTACGGTTACGCCTGTTGCCATTCCTTGATGGTAAGTCAAGCGTCGGTCCAGATGGTCAACAGTCGCGACAGTTGACTCTTGCGACTGTTGACCTTCCTGCCCTTGATACGGGCTGATCCGATACTGCGGTAGTTACTACTTCGACAGAGTCAGGTGCGATACTACTGCACCTACGGGAATGCTAAGTACAATTCTCTTCACACTCCAACACAATCCATCGTTCTGGAACATGCTCGGTATATTGTTTTGATTGTTTTGATTCTTAGTAGTTCGTTGTTTTTATAGTGAAGGGAACTACAGCAGCCATCTCTGTTCAAATTAGCAAATGTGTATGGTTCAAGCTTACAAACTGAGAGTGTTTTGTAATACACAATGAAAATAGGAGGTGCAAAACTCGGAGTTGTCCATGTCTTTCATGTTTACATTGTTGAGGTCTCAGGCATGCCGGCGTAGAGTCAGTTCCATGCCTTGCAATGTCAGCAATATTGTTATTCGGTAGCGCATTCAATGGAAACGTTGAGAGTTCAAATTATGAGGGACCATGAGGCGCCAGGGTTTGAAGACGGGCATGCACTGTAGATGTACGACAGCAACATTGAGAACGCGAGTGGATTGCGTCAGTATCTGCAATTGCTGGGACGTGAAAGGGCGAGGGAAGAAGGGGGTTGGGATGGTAGCAAGCAAGGAAAGAATGTCAAATGGCAAACAGAGAATGAAAATGTTGTGGAGGGGGAGGGGGGCTAAATGGGCATGGATTGATGAAATGAGGGAAGGGCGCCTGCCTGCCAGTAGAGGTTCTGAGAGGGAGGGGGGAGGGGGGAGAAAGAGAGGAAGCATGGTGTTTGAGATGAGACGTCTCAAAGGTTGCCTGGTGGTACTGGGTGTCTCTTGAGAATCTGCATAAACACCCGGTTGGCCACCTTGCAGCGCTGCTGTGCCTGGCGATAGAGGTTCTGAAAAGGAGGGAGAGAGGGAGGGAAGGAGGAGGGCGGGAGGCTACGGGAGGGGACGAAGGGGGAGGCGAGAGGAAGGGAGGATGAGAGGAAGGGCGGATGAGAGGAAGGGAGGATGAGAGAAAGGGAGGATGTGAGGAAGGGAGGACGAGAGGAAGGGCGGATGAGAGGGAGGGCGGATAAGAGGAGAGGAGGATGAGAGTAAGGGATGATGAGATAAAGGGAGGATGCGAAGAAGGGAGGATGAGAGGAAGGGAGGACGATTGGAAGGGAGGACGAGAGGAAGGGAGGACGAGAGGAAGGGCGGATGAGGGGGAGGGAGGACGAGAGGAAGGGTGGATGAAATGAAGGGCGGATGAGGGGGAGGGAGGACGAAAGGAAGGGTGGACGAGAGGAAGGGTTGATGAGATGAACGGAGGATGAGAGGGAGAGTGGAAGAGAGGGAGGACGAGAGGAAAGGAGGATGATAGGAAGGGCGGATGAGTGGAAAGGAGGATGAGAGGATGGGATGATGAGATGAAGGGAGGATGAGAGGAAGCGAGGATGAGAGGAAGGGCGGATGAATGGGAGAGAGGATGAGAGAAAGAGTGGATGAGAGGAAGGGAGGACGAGAGGAAGGGAGGATGAGAGGAAGTGTGGATGAGAGGAAGGGAGGATGAGAGGAAGGGCGCATGAGAGGGAGGGAGGATAAGAGGAAAGGAAGATGTGAGGAAGGGATGATGAGAGGAAGCTCTGATGAGAGGAAGGGAGGATGCGAGGAAGGGCGGATGAGAGGAAGGGAGGATGAGAGGAAGGGAGGATGTGGGGGAGGGAGGACGAGTGGAAGGGTGGACGAGAGGAAAGGAGGATGAAAGGAAGGGCGGATGAGAGGAAAGGAGGATAAGAGAAAAGGAGGATGAGAGGATGGGATGATGAGATGAAGGGAGGATGAGAGGAAGCGAGGATGAGAGGAAGGGCGGATGAATGGGAGAGAGGATGAGAGAAAGAGAGGTTGAGAGGAAGGGCGGATGAGAGGAAAGGAGGATGAGAGGAAAGGAGGATGAGAGGAAGGGAGGATGAGAGGAAGGGAGGATGAGAGGAAGGGAGGATGAGAGGAAGCGAGGATGAGAGGAAGGGCGGATGAATGGGAGAGAGGATGAGAGAAAGAGAGGTTGAGAGGAAGGGCGGATGAGAGGAAAGGAGGATGAGAGGAAAGGAGGATGAGAGGAAGGGAAGACGAGAGGAAGGGAGGATGAGAGGAAGGGAAATGAGGGCGTCGGGAAGGGAAATGAGGGCGTCGGGAATGGAAATGAGGGCGACGGGAAGGGGAATGTGGGTTTCGGGAAGGGAAACGAGGGCGACGGGACGGGAAATGAGGGCGACGGGACGGGAAATGAGGGCGACGGGACGGGAAATGAGGGCGACGGGAAGGGAACTGTGGGCGACGGGAAGGGAAATGTGGGCGACGGGAAGCTGAAATGAGGGCGACTCGAAGCTGTAATGAGGGCGACGGAAATTTGTAATGAGGGCGACGGAAAGCTGTAATGAGGGCGACGGGAATCTGAAATGAGGGCGACGGGAATCTGACATGAGGGCGACGGGAAGCTGAAATTAGGGCGACGGGAAGCTGAAATTAGGGCGACGGGAAGCTGAAATTGGGGCGACGGGAAGCTTCTCACCATGCGATATGTGAAAGGCGGGCGCGAGAAAACGGCGGGGAGGTGATGGTGAGGGCAGGGCGGGAGGCCAGATGCTGAGAGCGCCTCTAGCGCGTGGGAGTCTAATCGGCACCGACGGGCGGCGTAAGAAAGCTACCCATTTCAGACGATGGATACTTCCGCCCTGTGACCTATGGGAAGCGCGCGTTGTCGAGTGCCCGTGTATTAGCCTATACTTTTAGATTACAGAATAAAACGCCAGTTCCGCCCTCGATGAGTCTCGCTACCCCCCGTGCGCATTGGCTATATAACGTCAATGCTATCATCTCAGCTCACATCGCACTTCACCAACATTCGCTCCCTTTGGCTCTTCCGCGTTCCTCTAGAATCTAAGGTCGCGCCCTGCTGAAGGGGACTAAAAAACTAATGTTTGTTCGAGTGCATGTGTGCCTGCTCAAACTGTGCACAGTTTCCCTGGCACGTTGCTTCTCAGGTTTGTTGAATTTGGGAAGAAGGGCCCTGCCTACTTTTTACAACCAATCAGCAAGTGCACAGTTTGTTGCGAACTGCTTTCAGTCGCAACGTGTTTTTGAGGCTTCGCCTGTCACTCAACCCATCCGAACCTCCAACTGCCAGTCTGCCGAACCTAGAATTACTCAGTTGACTTCCGTTGAGTAATTCAGGTCTTGGGCTTTAACGTCAGTGTTACCTACGAGAAAAAAAAGGGTTGTAAAATTAATGTCACTACAAAATAAAGGCTGATTCGTTGAGCTATAGAAAATTGCACCACATAAATTATTTTATGGCATTACACCCCTCCTCGCTCTGCTCCTGTGCCGGATTAATGGCACAGTTTTGGCCAAGATTGTTGTTTCGAGCACTTGTCTTCGTGCTGTCTCCTCTCTGTGCGCCTTGCACGAACTTGCTGGTGGCCAAGATCAGCGAGCGCACCAGCTCTGTTCCAAACTGCAACGTATGGGATAATGGGAGTAAGGGGTGAGGGAGGGCAGGGCACAACGAAGTGTATTGGGGAGGGGGTTGGGGAGGGGGACAACGAGGGTGCAGAGAGGAAGGAGTGGGGGGGAAGGGGGGGGAATTGATGCATGGAAGTGATGGGTGAGCGAAATCAGGAAAGGCGTAAATGTAAGTAGGGCGGCGGAAAAGAGGAGACGATTGCAATGGGTCAAAGAAAGGTGACAACGTGGCATAAGGCATTTGTAGCGACTGGTGTTGGGGATGTCTGCGGAGAGTCACTTAACACCTGGAGCTGGATTACGGGGGAAGGCACGGATTCTATTAGTGATCGTAGCATTCCTTGTATGTTCTATAGCGCTTGCGCATCCACGAAGAGAATTGGTAAGTGTTTCGCTAGCAAAAGTTCACAACAGTGGTTGCAACAACAATGGCAAGAAAGGTTACATCAGGAACCTAGCAGCCCTGCAGACAAGCTGGTCGACCGCCAGCACAGCAAGGTCGACATCTGCCAGCGTTGCGTGGAGACACTGCGCCAGCATTGCAGAATAACGATCTGCCAACATAGCAAGTCGGCGGCTTGCCAACACTCCACCAGGGCGGCTTGCCAACGCTGCGTTGACCTCTGCAGGCAGTCAACCGCACCTCCCGCGCACCCTACCACAAAGTCGGCTTTGCCTAAGCGAGGGCGGGGCCAACACTCGATTCCCATCAACAATGTCAAGGCGTGGGCGACGGTTAGGAACATGTGCCTAATCATTTTCAGGTGCGATGACGAGTAGGCTCCGGCGAAGAGGAGGCGCAAGTGACAGTGCGGTGTCAAGCCGGAGAATGCTAAGACATAGGAATGCAACGAGAGGGAACGGTAGAAGTGGGTGTCAACGGGTGAGGAAAATATGTTCGGGATGAGGGCGAAGGCAAGAGGAAGTGGACGAGTGGTAATGGGGAGGGGTGCAGTGCAAGCTAGTCTCTGCTAAGGTTCGAGCTTTGCTTGGTTGGCATTACATGTGCGTGAGGAGAATCGATCCCTGGTGCAACATATCTGGGGTGATTGAATGGGCTTTTGGTGAATTTTTGTAGATCATGTCCCTCGTTATAAAGCACGAAGGTACCATATTCAGGGCGTATCCATGTTCGGGTCATGGGCACTGTTCCGGGCATCCGCAATTTGCGGATGACCCAAACAACATAAAACGCCACTTTGGGTCATCCGAACTCCTGCGACCCGCAAAGAGCCGCGAGGGTTCTCGCGCCAAAATCACTCTCCCCACAACAGTCGCATCCAATGGAGGGATGCCAGAACAGTTTGTAAGATCCACGCGAAACCACGCGAAACCCACCGAAAAAACACAATCGTCAAAATTTCCGGCGTGAATCCCCAAATGTTGGGAGCGCGACGCGGGAAATTTTAGACAAACTCATTTTCACTGGGGTCAATTTGCCGAGTGGTTGGGTGCTGAGGTGTAAGACGAGGGACATTGCCCACTTGTGACACTCGACTGACGACCGCCAAAAAATGGCAGTAAATACAGAATCGTGCAGCCATGTGATTGGTTGGGGGTGGGTCGTGCACGTCAGTCGCCCAACACCTGCACATTGACCCAAAGCTGGGGCCGCGCGCGGCTCGGCAGCCCACTTTGGGTCATGCGCAAATCCGCATGACCCAAACAGTAGCCACAACAGTGCTCATGACCCGAACATGGATACGCCCTCAGTGTTCCAGTGCGAAAGAAGGCTGAAGATACAACGTGGTCCACGTGGACTAGAAAAAAAAAATCTGGAAAATTAGCATACACCATTAATTAAACTTCACAAAAACAAGCGATGGCGAATCAGCGTACCGGTACAAGTAAGAAGAAAGACTGAAAAAACAGCGTACCGGTACAAGTAAGAAGAAAGAATGGAAAATCACTAAACCCTAAAACCCGAAAAAGTACGAGTCTGAAATCTCAGCCGTTTTAAAACCTAAATCATCCTTTTTTTTTAGCAGCTGACTTCTGAGGCCCTGGAACCTCATATGCTGGCTTACCTCATGATGGCTATAAAAAGTAACTTTGTTACGCGGACGGATGTTTGGCCATTCTGTAGTGATTCATACCGTGTTGTTCACTGTACTCGTAGCTGGTTGATTTCAAATATTGCACCGGCTGTGTCGCTGACGTGCTGACCCCCAAGCTGCTAGCGGTTCGATTTCTATGATCCGACGTCAGCTGAGGCAGCCGCGCCGTCGCCTGGGCGGGTACATCTCGGTGTTCAAGCAGCGAATGGGGAGAATACAGTAGACGTGGCGGCGGGCACTCGCTGGCCACGGTTTCGGCTTCCCATGTCGACCCATCAGCCACCTCAGCAAGTCGTACTCGCGTCGCGACGCGACTCGCAATCTCTCAATTTCCGCCGGTTGCGAATTTTGCAATCCGCTGGCGCCCGAAATCTTGCTTTTGGAGGGTTTTTGTCTCGTTCCCGGCATTGAGGGACCAGTTTGTCCAGTTCAAGGCGGTGAAAACAGACATTTCTCTTGATTGCATACGATCGTACGTAACCGCGCTGTACCAGCAGAACCGAACCAGCGGTGATCTGCCCTGAAAACGTTTTCAGGGTACGAGTAGCTTCATCCAAACTTGCACAACACAGGTAGAGGGCGTTTCCACAGGACGACAGAATGGCATTTGCTAAGCCAGGAGGTGTCGCTGTCACTTTTCTGGAATGAGCCTTTTGCAAACTAGGCAGCACTTGAAATGCGAAACGCCCCACTTTCCCTGCAGGTCATTATTGCCAGCTCCGCAAGCACCGGGGCGCTGCTCGAACCACGGAAGGGTTCGTGCATATAAAGCAAGCTGGGCTTGCTCGTTCCTCAGCAGGGATGGGTATATTGTTCTCCTGACACGCTTTTCCAGCAACAACTTTAAACAGCTAGTCTCACTGCACTGCCTGATGCAGGATTCAGCCAACGACGACTATCTTTAGTTTCCCTCGGCTTTATTATTTCGTTAGCTCTCGTTTAGCAGCGACAATGACACCCCTCTCGCTCGTTCTCCTCGTCTCACTCGTCGCCTTCGCCGCAATTCCCCCCTCCAGTGCCGTCCCCCTGCTCCCCTCGCAAGAGAAGGCGCTACTCTCCCTGAAAACCGCGTGGGGAAACTGTACAGTAACCAACACATGGGTCGCCGGCACAGACTGTTCGAAATGGTCCGGCGTCGTTTGCAACGACGGTGGGATGGTCATCCAGGTCTACATCGGCGATTACTCGTGCACCGGCGCGTTAACGGAATCCGTCGGAAACCTGACGGAGCTGATGTTGCTGGACTTCTCCAACAACTGGCGCTTCGGCGGAAGCTTGCCGAAAAGCCTCGCGAAACTGCAGAAGCTCGAGTCGCTCAGCATTCGCGACAATATCCATGGGAGCCTCTCGGGCGGCCTTCCGGATTTCCTCGGGAAACTCGCGCGGCTCACGTACCTGGGGCTCTGAGGAACTGGGCTCGCGGGGAGCATTCCACGCGGGCTTGCGCGGTTAAGCCGCCTCGAGTTCCTCGACCTGCAATGGAACCGTCTCGACGGCGGAATCCCCCCGGAATCGTCCAGCATGGCGGCGCTCAGCGTGCTTGACTTGGGCGGAAATCGGTTGACCGGATCGATTCCGCCGACCCTCGCGAAAATCAAGGGCCTAAAGCGGCTGGTTCTCGGGAATAACAAACTCTTCGGTGAACTCCCCGTGTCCGTTATACTCGCTATAAAGAGCCTTGAGGAGGTGGATCTGCGCAGCAATCGGTTCACTGGTTCGTCTATCGGCGCCCTTGCTACCCATTCGGCTCTGGCGGACATAAACCTTAGTGGGAATCTTCTTTCGGGCAGGATTCCGTCCAAGTTCGGGCAGATGAAAAAGCTGGCGAGTCTGCGATTGGCTGGGAATAGGTTCAAGGGAACAGTCCCTGCGGCTCTGCTGAAAGACATGCCGAACCTGCA